GCGTCTCTGCAGAGAGTCATGCTCAGGAGATCTCGGGAAACTGTGACAGCCCCGAGGTTCAGCGAGAGAAGCCGAGTGTTCCCCAGTATGTTCCCAACGGTGGAGTAAAGCATGTCCTCGCTGAGCCTCCGTCAGGCGGGCTTCAACAATCCAAGAAAATGAAGCTGGAGGAAGAGCCTAATGGTCAAAATCCGGACACAGAGAATCAGGAGGCCAAACCGAAAGGGTGTATCCGGGCTCAGACTGAGCTGCGGGAGTTTGAAGGGCAGAACTGGCTGGGGAGCACGACCAAACCTCAGAGCCCCGAACGTGGAGATCCTGGCCACCCCCAGCCCCCAGCGAGCGAACGCAACAGATTGGAAAAGGGGATAGGCTCCGGCTACAAGAACGGGGACATCCTGTCGCTCCTCGAGAGCAAACCAGTTCCAAACGGTGCTACAAGTTCCATGGACATCCAGCAGCGCGGTGGCTTCCGAGACAAGGCGCTGTCGCTGTGCTACCCCGAGCACTTGTTCAGCACAGCCCACAGTGTCACACCTCACCAATGCAGCAGAACAACGGAGGCCAGCGCGAACCTGTCATGGAAGAGAGCTCACACCTCACATACCTCGTCTGTGTTGAAGACAGAAGAAGGGCAGCAGGTAGAACAGTTGCCGGCAGCCAAGAGCCAAGGACCACAGAGCTCTGGAGCTGGGCAGGTGCCCGGCCAGTGTTCTCCTGTGGTCCCCACCAAGTGTTTACATCTGCAGACCAGCTTTACAAAGATGTCAGAGCCCCCTGCCAGGGGCAAGACCGTGTTTATTGGTGCTACGGGCGGCTCGCAGTTTCTCTCGCAGCCCGGGGAAGGGCACGGTTTACAGGCCGCCCGGGTGATGCACGGTGCGGCCAGGGTGCCCCAAGGCGAGCCGCCGGACTGCAGAGAGCAGGAGGCGCCCGGACCGACCGAGAACGGAGCCCCCACCTCCGCTTGCCCTCAGCAGCGCTGGCCGGGCTCGGCGCTGCGGGGGTCGTCTCGCCAACCTCCACCTCCCCCCGCTCCTCTCCCGGCCGAGCCTTGGCTCCGGCTCCGGCTGCTCCAGCTCCAGCAGCCGCCGGTATCGTCCCCACCGTCTCCAGCCTGTGCGAGGGGCCCGGAGCGACCGTGCAGCAACGGGCCGGCGGCCGGGGAGCAGCGGGCCCAAGCGAACGGCCAGTCCCGGAGGTGGGGGCCGGGGAGCGGGCAGGATCCGGTCGGGCTACCGGGCTCCGAGACCGAACAACAGCAACAACGCGACAGACCGCAGTCGGCCCCCCAGCGCCTCCTGCAGGCTCAGCAGGACAAGGCGGAGAGCCCCCCGGGCAAGAGGTCACTGCTACAGACCGTGGGGGAGGGCCGACCCCATTCAGTCCCCCAGCAGGACACGGAGGTGCTGAAACCCCGTCTCCAGTCCTGGCTCTTAACCCCACTCCCACTGAGCCAGGGGCAGCAACAGTCATCACCGGCCCCGGGTGAAGGGCTGGCTCCCCGCCTGTGCCCTCGCACCCTCCAAGCTCAGGTGCCAAACCTCCAGCTGCCCCCCGAATGCCAGCTGCCTCCCCTCCCAGGCGACCCCCATCGCCGCCAGCAACAATGTGGCCAGCGCTTGAAGTCAGTGGAACTCAGAACTGGGTTGTCCCACCCAGTTCAGGAGCAGAAGGGCCCGCCTTACAGTGCCCACAGCAGCAATCCCCTACACAGGAGGCTCATCGAGCCTCAGCTGAACAAACTCAGCCCCTCTCACGGTAGCACCCCCGAAGGGGCAGGCCCCTGCAGGGCAGAGAGCAGTACCAGCCAAGAACTTCAGCCTCCAAACAAAGCCAACGGTTCACAGCAGGTCCCATGTGCCCAGCATAGCACAGGACCGACTCCTCAACTCAAGCAGCAGGTACATCACATGTCTGTCATCCAACAGGTACAGCAACCACATTCACAGGGACAAGCTGAACTGATGGAGCCAGTCATTGCACCCAGGATCGAGCGAGGCTGTTCAGTCCCTCAGTCACATCCAACGCCAGGGCAAATACCCCACGGTTCACAAAGCCCTCAGGGCCCATCCGGCATCCAGAAGGAAGATGAATCCCAAATAAGCGCAGCGCTTAGAGCTCACTTACTGCAACAGCAAGAGCTGCAAAGGAGAATGTACCTACGAAGAATGCAGGACCCCAAAGGACTTCAGAAACTAATCAAGGTTGAGAAAGAATGCCCAACCGCCCCTTCCACAACTGCAACCAGTGCCCAGCTGAAAGCTGACCCAGAGATATTAAACCTTATTAAGCAACAGAGCCAGCAGTTAAGCTGTGACCACCAGAAGCAGGAAAGGAGCATAATCGAAGCACTGGAGCAGCGCTTTAAAGAGTACCAGCTCTCCTCACCCTTTGACCAACAACCATGTGTCATCAAATCACCCAAGCAAGTGAAGGTGGAAACCTCAGGATCTGTCACTGTTTTGTCTGCCACCGCAGACTTGGAGTCAGATTTAGGTGGTGACTGTACTTCAGCACTACAAACCAGCTCATCTACTGAAGCCACACCGACTAAACGACGGCCAGGATCCACACTCAGTAATTTTTTAGAGTCCCCCTTGAAGTATTTGGACACCCCCGTCAAAAACTTACTGGACACCCCAAAGAAGACACAGTACGACGTCCCAGCGTGCAGTTGCGTTGGTAAGTCCTGTCACTTTGCTTCGTCGTACAGCCTTCCACAGGCAGAAACACGATATATCAACAAAACCATTTCCCCACACACGGACACAGCTACTATCAGAGCTATGCCCTTAAACAAGAGAGCTCAACAACATTTTTGTAAGAATAGTTAAACCTCTCCACAATAACTTGCCAAGCTGCTGCAATCTTTTCGTCCTTTTTTTTTTTGGGTAGCCAATATCAAAGTTTTCTGTTTACAGAATTCCCAATATCAGCAGAAAAGCTGTACATCACCCAGGGCCTTGGTAACAGCACCCTTCAGTACGGTGTGCAGATTTGCTTCTTTCCTAAGGAAGGATACATCTGCCTTAAAGGGTGTGTTACAATAGAGAACTTAAATCCTGGGAATGAGGTGAATTGTCTTATGAAAAGATTGAATAGACTAGGTCCATATTCCCTGGATTTTATAAGAATCGTAAGGTTTTTAAGGGGCTTGACGGCTCAATGTTGGAAGGATGTTTTCTCTGGCTGTATCTGGATCAAAGTGGTACAGTCTGGAATAAGGGAATGGCCATTTAGAATTGAGATGAGTAATGTTTCACTCCATTATGAAGTTTGGAATTTTCTACTACAGTGAGCTGAGAATACTCAGTCATCGAGATATTCAAAGACAACAGGTGAATAGACTTCTGGATACTTAAGAGAATCAGAGACCTACTACCAGTTTGAAAAGGCGGATTTGAGTTATTAGATCACACGCTGTCTTACTGAATAGTGGAGCTGGACTATCCCAACTCCTATTTAGCATATTCTTCTGAGTGTTTGCAGGCTGACACAGTTGACCATACCTTGTTTGAATGAATGGTAAATGAGGCTCCGAGAGTCCATTCCTTTTTTATAATCTAATGTCAGATATTAACTTAACTAACATGGGAATGCATTTAGGTTGCTGTCAGTAGCAATAAAGAAAAATGGGAGATCTTGCCAAATAGGAGAGCAAATCTCTAATGTTACAGTCTGAAGGAAGTTACTTTCTTATCAGCAATTGCTTCAGAGCAAGGACACAGATGTTACAATGTGACATAGCATAGAAGGTGGCTCATTGTGGCTGCTGTTTGATAAAACAATCCAATTACACCACCTCTCTTCCTACACACACACCTAGTCTATTTCAGAACTATTATTGAAGCTGCTTCCACCAGACAGAGTGACTGGCTTTAGTACTGAGTGCAGGTGTACAACCTTTCGTAAGAGTGATGGAAATTGAATAACTCCGTGCCACTATCGGTCCTCCCTCAAACTCCACGTGGAACCAAATTCTCAGTGTTAAGAAATGTAACAGAAGTGAGACTAAAGTTCCAGAGGAGGGAGAGTAAAAGGAACAGGAAAACACTGCCAGCTGTTAAAATCTAAGCCTTAATTGCTGAACATAATTTACAAAGGATACCTGGGAAAGGATGCCAAGATTAAATAACTAATTTCCTCCCAATTGACCTGATCCACTAGTGGGAGATGATTTAGTGACCACACTCCCACAAAGCTGAGCAATGATTGCATGGTAATGTTACACAGCTGGAACATCTCCGAGAGCTCTGGGCCTCCCTCCAGTGGCTGTAAGCTGCTACTGTGAGGTTTCATTTCGTTGTGCTCCACCACCAGCGAAATTTATCACCAGAGCAAAGGCTGAGAGAGGGCTAGCCTCCTGATGGTAAGGTGCAGCAGGTAGACGGCAACGGGTAGGGTACCATCATTAGTGCACGGAGTTAACGAGATTACAGATCACTGGAGGAGGTTTCTCTGAGACAATGCATGGAATGAGAATGTGGAAAGAAAATTTGAAGATGATGGGACGTAGGTTAGTCGTGGTTCTTGGAATGCACGGGCGAGATGCGTGTACAAGACTTACTGAGGATTAGGACTCAACATAATAGGAGCAGGAGTACAATTTGGCCATTCAGGCGCTCTATCATTCACTTTATCGTTGATGTAGATGGAACCTCAATTCTGTTTTCTTATAACTCTTGGCTCCCCTGTAGTCCAAACACCAGTATATAACAGTCTTGAATATACTCTGGTCTAGCTTCCATTGCTGTCTGTGGGGGAGAATTCCAAACAGTACCAATTGTGGGAGAGAATTAATTCCACCTCCTCTTATATTTAGGTAGAATACTGCATATGTTGAAACTGTGCTCCCTAGTTCTAGATACCCCACAAGGGTAAACGTCTTCTCATCGTCTATTCTCTCAAACCTTCTCCAGGGGCTTCAATGGGATTTCTCAGTCTTCTAAAGTCCTGAAAGAGCCACCACAACTTGCTCAATCTTTCTTCATAAGGCAAACCACGCCACCTAGGGATTAGTCCACTGAACCTTCTCTGAACTTCCGCCTTTGTAAGTGTATCTGTCCTTTAAATATAAAGATGGAAAAGGTACACAATACTTCGTATACAGTTTCACCGATGCCCTGTAAGTTGTGGTAGGACTCCCCTACTTTCATACTACACTCTTGCCCCGGGGGTTGTGGGGGGGTGGGGGTGGGGAAGCCAAACTTCCATTTGCCTTCCTAATTACTTGCTGTAACTGCTGTAACTTTTTGTGATTCCCATTGTGAGGACACCCAGGTCTCTCACAGTTGCAGTATTCTGCTTCTCTGTTCTTCCTCCGGAAGTGAATAACCACACATTTTCCCGTATTAGACTCCACCTTCCAAATTGTGGTCCATTGACATTACCAATCTAATCCCCTTTTGCAGATTATTTATACACCTGTCACAGCTTAATTTCCAAACTTCTTTGTTTCATCAGATTTGGCTACAATACACCTGGTTCTTTCATCAAATCCTTAATACAGATTTTAAGTAATTGAGGATCCAGTTCTGATCACTCTACACCTCACTAGTTACAGTTAGACAACTTGAAAATAGCAAATTTATACCAATCCTCTATGTTAGTAAATTCTCCATGCAAGGTAATATGTTACCCCATCATATTCTTACCTTGTGTAAGTAACCTTTTATGTGGCTTTGTATTGACTGTCATTTTAAAATCTAAATACACAATATCTTTTGCATCCCCTTTATCCACATTGCTCAATACATCCTCAAGGAACTAATAAATTTATTAAATACAATTTCTTTCATAAAATCATTTTGACTCTGCTTTCATTCTTATATTAGATTCCAGTATTTCTCAATGACAAATTTTATTCATACTGGTCTAATGTTTCCTGCTTTTGGTGTCTCCTACTTTCTTGAATAATGGGTATAATGTTTCCAGTTTGCTTGGATCTTTCAGAATTCACTGAATTTTGGAAGATTGCAAAGGATGTGCTCACCATCTCTGCGGCCAATTATTATGAGTCCCTAAAGGACTTGTTAGTCTTTTGCCCAAATGGTTTGCCTAGTATTCTTTCTCTGGTGATAATGATCCTTCTAAATTACTCGCTTGATTTCCTTCTATTATTGTGATGCTTTTACTTTCTTCTACAAATATTTGTACAAAGTCTGCCATTTCCTTGTTCCCTAATACTAACTGCTCAGTCTAATCCTTAAGGAACCAATGCTCGCTTTTGGCAACTCTAGAAAATAGTAGACGTTCTTTATTGTCTGTATTTCTAAAAATGTCCCGTTCTTCTTTCTTCCCGGTAATATTCACGACATTGTGTATGCTTCTTACTTCAATTTAACTGTCTTAGTTAGCCGCGGATGGTTCATCTCTGTGAATCTTTTTCTCAATAGTGTACAGTTATGTTCAGAATTATGAAATATTCTCCTTAACTATCTGCCATTGCTTATCTGCCATCTTTCCTGTTAATCAATTTCCTCAGTTGATTTTGGCCAACTGTGTTTATATCTTTATAATTGTCTAAATTTAACTTTCACACACTAGTTTCAGATTCATGTTCTCGTTCTTCAGTGAATGTAAAGTTCTTTCATGTTGTGATCACTCTTGTCTTGAGGATCCTTTACTGCAAGGTTATTGGTTAATCCTGTCTCATTACAAAGTACCACATTACCACATCTAAAAGAGCCTGTTCCCCTGTTAGTTCCACACTACTTCACTCAGAAACTGTTCCAGTACAGTTCAAGAGCTCATCCTCAAAGTTAGCTTTACCAATTTGATTGGTCCGATTTATATAAAAGAAAAATTGCCCAGAGTTGTTGTAGAACTTTTCTTTGAGCACTTATTTTTTGATTTATGCTTGGCCATATTCCGTTGGGCCTATAGTCTACATACATGAGTGACTATTTTTTCCTTGTTATTTCTTATCTTTACCTAAACTGGTTATACATCTTCCCTGTTTAGTTTTTCCATCATTCTCAGTGTTTGTTTTAGATTTCAAGCATCTGCAGTCTCTTGCTTTTTATTATTTTATTCCATTTCTTGACTGTCCAAGACAAGGTTCCTCACTATTGCACTGATCTCCTCCTTTATTCAGAAACTCCATCTCCTTGTCTTTTCTGTCTATCCTTCCAAAATTACAAGTATCCACAAATATTCAGTTCCTGGCTTTGCTTAACTTGTAATCATGCCTCCATTCCTATCTATTTGTGCCATCAGTTCACCTATCTTGTTATGAATGTTCCGTAATTCAGATAAAGAGCCTTGAATTTTGTCAACTTACAATTTTTTACTCCTGTAATTCTACTTGTCATTTACATTTTGGTTATCACTACCATACTGTTATTTTGCACTGTTGACTTGTCATTTCTCTTTTGATTTTCTAAATTTATTCTCCTTGTACCATCGCCTTCCCCTCCCCCCACCTCAACTATTCATCTTAAAGTCCAATCTAACCCTATTTATATGACTTGCCAAGGGACTGGTTTAGGTGAAGGCCATCCCGATGGCACAATTCTCTCTTTTCCCAGTAGCCCATTTATTGAAACCCATTTCTCCCACACATTCAACTCTCGGTTATTGACCCCATACCCAATTTGTTTGTTGCTCAAAGGTAATAATCTGGAGATTATTACCTTGTGATTCTGCATTGCAATTTAGCTCTTAGCTACCCGTACTCCCTCAGCACAATCTCTTTCTAATTCCTATGTCTTTGGTTCCTACAAGGACAACTGGACCATTCCCCGCCCACTAAAAGTTCCTTTCAGGCCCTGAGGTGATCTCCTTAAATCTGGACCTGGATGGACAATGCAACATTCAGGACTCTCATTCTTGGGTGCAAAAAAATAATATCAAACTCCTAAATATATATGAGATAACAAGGTGTAGAGCTGGATGAACACAGCAGGCCAAGCAGCATCATAGGAGCAGGAAGGCTGATGTTTCGGGTACCCCTAAATATATATGACTGCACTCTTTTTTTTTTCAGTCCCGCAATGGAATGGTCTCTGAATAAGCAGTGCTGTAGTCAGTTTGCTCAATCTCCATGTATGCCTTGCTCCCATCCACTTAGGCTACAAGTTGTAGGATATGTGCAAGGGCCGAGGCTCCTTCAATGCTAGTTACCTCACTCAGTCATATTCTCCTGTCCCTGAGGAGGGACCTAATCTGAATTGTTGAACCCAAGAAGTGAGGCTGGTTTCTGTCCATGTAACCTCTTCGCTCCTTGGGGATATTCCAAAGAAAAAATATAGAGGAGTATCTAAATGCATGCAACTTACAACCTCGATCAGTATATTACACAGCATCTGACGCGGTGACTAATGTTGCCGTTGAAGCTCTTAATTAAATCTGGGTGGAATTTCCAATTAACAAATGACTTAGGCATGGGAGTAAATTGCTGGTACTTCTTGTTGCCAAGGTCATTTTAGAGTTTTGAGTGTAAGCAGGAGAGTATCGTTCGTCTGACTGAGTGCCAGGAATGACTTTTGGCAACAGTTTCAATGAAACAGGGTTTTGGGACTCTGGCTTTTATCCAAACATTACAACATGAGAAAAGGTTTTTATGCATTGCATGATCTTTAAATGCCTTTTATTCTCTGTGTTAGAAAAACCATAAAGTAAATTTGACCATGTGTGTCAACATATATACAGTATCCCTTTAAATGAGAGCAGTGCTGAGAACAGAGCAAGTTAATGATGAGGTTAAAAATACTCCTTTTTTAAAAATTGCCCTTTAAATTACGTAAAAGCCATAATTGAGTTGCAAAGCCCTATATTTTTAAATTGACTGTAACTAGATAGAAATTTTCTGCATATATACCCACTGTCCATCATCGCCTCAGGATGCCCCAAAGTGCTTCACAACAGCAAATTACTTTGGGTATGCAATCAATGTAGCAGATAATTTGCACACAGCAAGATCCCACAGCAATAAGATTAGTGATTCAGTAATCTGTTCCTAAGGAGACAGTGAGAACGATTTTGCACTTCTTTCCGTAAATCCATGCTATTGTGCCTCCCTGAGAAGAACCTTGGGACCTCAGCTTAACACCAATATGAAAGAAAAGACCCAGGTTCTGAGAATCAACAAAAGCTGGAAATGCCCAGCAGGTCTGGCAGCAGCTGTGGAAAGAGAGACGGAGCAATCAGGTGGAATATTAAGTCCTCTCCAGGAAACGGCAGAGGGCATGTAAAATTGGGCACACAATGGCGATGCCATGTCAGACCCTGTCAGCCTGTTTGCAGTGAAATTCCTAGCTTATTTAAAAATCCATGTCCTGCTCTTCCATGGGAACTGCCTGAAGTCCCAGCAGCGTCCACAGCTTCCAGAGGTAGAGAACTGCTCACCATTTGACTAACTGGCAGCTCTGAGAGGTATGAGCTCCTTCCTGATGAGATGGAAAGTCCCATCCTGAGCCAATTCATGGCCAAACAGCAGTGGCGTCACTTGGCCAAGCAGATGTCGGCTAACTTCTGACATTTGATTGAAGGAAGGTCCAAACTTTCTGCATAAGATTCTGGAAGGCATTTCAGGCTAATGACCTTTTATCGGATCTCCATTTAACACATCACCTCCTTAGTCCTGGACTGGGCATTCTAATGGTGGGTAGTGTCTGACCCAAATCCTACAGTATTGATAACTCGAGGCAAACCTAGAACCTAAGCCAAGGACTAAGAAGCTGCAGTTTTTTTGTTTTGTTTCTCTTGTTAGTTGGATTCAGCCTATGGAATTATTTATTGTAATTGCTTATTTTGTTGATTAACGTGATGAATGATTTCTTTATCTATACTTTGCTGATAAATCCCAGCAATGTACATACTGTCTTATCAGTGTAACCTTAATAAAGACATAATTTCATGATTTCTTCGAATTAACAGAACAAATCAGTGAAAAAGATGAAGGTCCTTACTATACACACCTTGGTGCAGGCCGTAACGTAGCAGAAATTCGAGAGCTGATGGAAAACAGGTACAGTCTGAAGTAAACTTACAATATTCAAATTTTTGGTGTCTGCTGTAGTTGTGATCATTGAAGATCAATCGCCTCAGTCCCGGGTATGCAGTTATTTTGGGAAATGCAGTAGATAATGTGTCTCTAAACCACAACTTCTGCGATTTTACTGTGAGACATAGCAAGGAAGCAGGCCCCAAGTCAACTTCAGCTCCCTCAATGATCACACTCTGAACTTTTGGTGTTGTTCTGAACCACAGGCTAACAATCTGGCCAACTGGGTAATGCCTGGAGCTGAGAGGTGGAACATAAGATCCTGAGGGGCCTTGACAGGGTAGAGGTGGCAAGGATATTTTATAGATAGTAGGAACTGCAGATGCTGGAGAATCTGAGATAACAAGGTGTAGAGCTGGATGAACACAGCAAGCCAAGCAGCATCAGAGGAGCAGGAAAGCTGACGTTTCGGGCCTAGACCCTTCTTCAGAAATGGGGGAGGGGAAGGGCGTTCTGAAATAAATAGGGAGAGAGGGGGAGGCGGATAGAAGATGGATAGAGGAGAAGATAGGTGGAGAGGAAACAGACCGGTCAAAGAGGCGGGGATGGAGCCAGTAAAGGTGAGCGTAGGTGGGGAGGTGGGCAGGAGATAGGTCAGTCCAGGGAGGACGGACAGGTCAAGGGGGCGGGTTGAGGTTAGTAGGTAGGAGATGGGGGTGGGGCTTGAGATGGGAGGAAGGACAGGTTAGGGAGGCGGGGACAAGCTGGGCTGGTTTTGGGATGCGGTAGGGAGGGGAGATTTTGAAGCTTGTGAAGTCCACATTGATACCATTGAGCCGCAGGGTTCCCAAGCGGAATATGAGTTGCTGTTCCTGCAACCTTCGGGTGACATCATTGTGGCATTGCAGGAGGCCCAGGATGGACGTGTCGTCTGCGGAATGGGAGGGGGAGTTGAAATGGTTCGCGACTGGGAGGTGCAGTTGTTTAGTGCGAACCGAGCGTAGGTGTTCTGCAAAGCGGTCCCCAAGCCTCCGCTTGGTTTCCCCGATGTAGAGGAGGCCACAACGGGAACAGCGGATGCAGTATACCACATTAGCAGATGTGCAGGTGAACATCTGCTTGATGTGGAAAGTCTTCTTGGGGCCTGGGATGGGGGTGAGGGGGGAGGTGTAGGGGCAGGTGTAGCACTTCCTGCGGTTGCAGGGAAAATTGCCAGGTGTGGTGGGGCTGGAGGGGAGTGTGGAGCGGACAAGGGAGTCACGGAGAGAGTGGTCCCTCCGGAAGGCAGATAAGGGTGGGGAAGGAAAAATGTCTTCGTGGTGGGGTCGGATTGCAGATGGTGGAAGTGTCGGAGGATAATGCATTGGATCCGGAGGTTGATAGGGTGGTATGTGAGGACGAGGGGGATTCTGTTTTGGTTGTTATTGCGGGGAGTGGGTGTGAGGGATGAGTTGCGGGAAATGCGGGAGACATGGTCGAGGGTGTTCTCGACCACTGAGTTGGGGGTAGTTGCGGTCCTTGAAAAACGAGGACATCTGAGATGTACGGGAGTGGAATGCCTCATCCTGGGAGCAGATGCGGCGGAGGCGAAGGAATTGGGAATAGGGGATGGCATTTTTGCAGGAAGGTGGGTGGGAGGAGGCGTATTCTAGGTAGCTGTGGGAGTCGGTGGGCTTGAAATGGATATCGGTTTCTAGGTGGTTGCGGGAGATGGCGACAGAGAGGTCCAGGAAGGAGAGAGAGGTATTAGAGATGGTCCAGGTGAACTTAAGGTTGGGGTGGAAGGTGCTGGTGAAGTGGATGAACTGTTTGAGCTCCTCGTGGGAGCATGAGGCAGCACCGATACAGTCATCAATGTAACGGAGGAAGAGGTGGGGTTTAGGGCCAGTGTAGGTACGGAAAAGGGATTGTTCCACGTAACCTACAAAGAGGCAGGCATAGCTTGGGCCCATGTGGGTACCCATGGCCGCCCCTTTGTATGTAGGAAGTGGGAGGAATTGAAAGAGAAGTTGTTGAGGGTGAGGATGAGTTTGGCTAAGCGGATGAGGGTGTCAGTGGAGAGGGACTGGTCGGGCCTGTGGGACACTCCCCTCTAGCCCCACCACACCCGGCAATTTTCCCTGCAACCGCAGGAATTGCTACACCTGCCCCTACACCTCCCCCCTCACCCCCATCCCAGGCCCCAAGAAGACTTTCCACATCAAGCAGATGTTCACCTGCACATCTGCTAATGTGGTATACTGTATCTGCTGTACCCGTTGTGGCCTCCTCTACATCGGGGAAACCAAGCGGAGGCTTGGGGATCACTTTGCAGAACACCTACACTCAGTTCGCACTAAACAACTGCACCTCCCAGTCGCGAACCATTTCAACTCCCCCTCCCATTCCGCAGACGACATGTCCATCCTGGGCCTCCTGCAATGCCACAATGATGCCACCCGAAGGTTGCAGGAACAGCAACTCATATTCCGCTTGGGAACCCTGCAGCCCAACGGTATCAATGTGGACTTCACAAGCTTCAAAATCTC